GTGGAGGCCTCGTTAAAAACCCTCTTCATGATTACAAGAAACCAAAGATGTTCCATAATCAGCGGAAGGAGTAAAAAAGTGCCTCAAATTTTATTACTAAAAGATTAGTGCAATGCATGTGATTACAACCAAGCTTAACCCCCCCCCCAATACAATAAATAACCCGAACACACAAAGAAAAAACAACCCAACCACATACTCCCTATCTTAGCCAATTCCAGACTTTGCTAAAATGTCTGCCTCAAAATTTGCTGGCCTACCTACCCAACGAATGATGCCCTCCAAGTTTCTTATCTTATCAGCAGTTTCTTTAGAGATAGAAACATACAAACTTGGGCATTTATCCAAATTCTTAATCCACTCCACAGATAGCTTACTATCACTCTCAATAATCAACCATTTCTTAGAACACCGGCAAGAAGATTCAAAGAAAATTACACCCTGTTTAATGGCCTTTAATTCCATTAAAGGAGGACCCGGACCAGCAGCTTCTTGAAAAGAACTCATCTCTTAGGATCCCGCCTAAACCATTTTGCCTTCCAATCACCTTTGACAGCAGCATCCACATTCAGCTTCAGAAATCCCAAAGGGGGAGGGGACCAAGAAATCTGTTCTGTTATCTGGCTTTTTGGAACAAAACAAAGATCTCCAAGAGAGGGATCACTGATGAGGGAGTCCTTCGAGATGGAAATAACTCTAACACAAGAATCAAGAATTTTCTTGTAACTTGAGCTAAGGTTCTCATAGTTTTTCTTAATGACTTGCTTTGCTTTATTTTCTAAATATAGCACGGGCACTCTTGGAGCAGTGTTTAGCTGGGAATGAAGATCCTACCTTTGGTAGTACCGTTGCTGGTGGAGTTGTGAGTTCTAATGCCACGGGGTCCCAGCACATAAATGTTTTGGTGACTTCTGGGTCGTTGATTCCTAGCCTTGTTAAATGTTTACTCTTTCGACTTGACAATTTGATATCGTATGAAAATGGTGAGTAATCTTCGGTTCACTTGAAGTAAACTGCACCTTTTTGTAGTATATACTGAAATTGTATATGGTTTTATTGTTAGAGATATTGTTTATAGTCTTAGAACTTTCGGGGGGGTTGTTAGATGGGTTGCAAGGACAGCGAATATGGATGTTGATGCTTTAGCAAAGGCCGGTATAGGTTGATTTTAAGAAGGAGGTTTAATGAGGCCTTCAAATCTTATCAAAAAAAATATATATATACTGAAATTATTAGCACCAGCCAATACTTTAATTGGCATATTTATTGTAGTCTGCTTGTTATGCATGTTTTCTCTTATAATCTATCCTCCCATCATCTTTTTTAATCTGTCCATGGCAAGTACGATATTTGATTTCAGGTCCTTGGCACAGATATGAAAGGACTTTTCTGGAAACATTAGCAAGCATGCTCATGTTATGTGCATAACCAGAAAGGGTCCCTATATTTTGTGTTGTATATGAACATTTAAGCAATCAAGAGTAGCATAATTGCCTGGTTAAACGCACATCTTTCTCAAAAAAAAATTATATCCTAAATTGACCTCACAGTAAAGGTATCTCTCGTTAGCCAAGACTCGATGAGTTTAATATGTAATGTTAATGTGGCAATTTTTCAGGTGAAGAAAGCTTTTAACAAGAAGATATGAATTGCCTAAAATTATTTCCCATAAACTATACTTCGGTTATCAAGTTCTTCTAGAATACTTGCTTTTCATTCTCTCTATAAGGACACTCTCCATGACTTGTAGTTTCAAGAGTTCAAATGGTTCTCATATTTTTCAGGTCACTGGATTGCATGCACACCGTAGCGACCACATGTTGGTCCTCAATGTGATTTCTTTGATAAACTCATCATATTTGTATTACTTACAAAACATTTATTCTCCAGTTTACAGCTCATGGGATGTAGGGAAACTACAATGTTTCCAGTGGATCAAGAAACGTTTCAACAGTCGAAATACCCACTTTTGTGCAATAGGAGATGGATGGGAAGAGTGTGAGGCTGCGCAAAGCCATGAAGTGGCCTTTTATCAAGGTAGACCTGCGTCCCAATAGTTCTCACAGGTTCCCCAGGCCTCACACTTAGAACAGTAGGTTTCTATTTCTCTATCGGTATGGAAACCCTGATTCAGAAAATGACGATGACTAACCATAGTTTCGCCATCATATAAGTTCATTTTGGATCTTAAAAATGGATACCTATTTGTACATAAAACCAGAGTTTTACCAGGTGGAACCTGCATTTCTGAACAATAACAGTATTGTTTGTACAAGATGAGGCTCGGCAACTTCCTAGGCCGTGTATTTGATTGTATAATCATTTCTTGTAGATACAGTCATTATCCCTTATGCTAAAATGACATTTTTATGGAATGATTATGAGCATATACATTTCCTTGTACAGATTTTATGCAAGTCTGGCAATTCATTTTTCTTTATAATTTTTGGAAGTTGAATTATGGTTATATCTTTTAGTGCATTAGCTCCCATGTTTTGCCACAGGAAGTAACTGAAATGCATTTCTTGAAAACCTTGTTAAATAATGGCCTCTCTTTATGTTAGTCCAGACGATTTGTCTGTGTCTGAAATTGGACTTTCCTCTGATTCTCTTGGGCAAATGTTTGATACCATCCATAAAATGCCACACCTCTCTTCCTTTTCATGCAAAAATCCCAGAAATGTGGTTGGAAATTGGAATAGCTGAAGTTTTGGAATGGCAGGCTAGCCATGGATTGAAATGTCAACATCTGATGTTATGGGGCTATAAATTGAGACAAAAGGGTTTTTGACATTGGGTAAACTACATATTTAGTCCCCCAAATATTATTGTAGTTTTGTTTTGATAATTTAATTACTTTTTTAAATCATACCTAATGTTACGTTTTCGTTTGGTTTTGGTCAATTATTGTTAAAAAATTAACGATACTGATGTGTTATCATAAGATAGTGTCATCATTAAAAAAATTAAAAAAATTATCATTTAAGCATTATTGTAGTTTTTTAATGGTCGGTGATCATAGTACAACTTTATGTATTTTAAAAAATATTAGCGACTAAATGCATAGTTTAAAGACATTTTTAGCTCTCCTGCAACCCAAAAAGGAAAAGAAAAAAAAGAGTTATTTAGCTTTTGTTTGTTTTAATACAGTACTATTATTAACTGTTAGGACGAAAAGGATAAGGCTGGGAAAAAAAAGATTGTTTGATCATATTTAGCATATTTATCCAGGCTATTAGGAAGGACTTGTGGCCTGTTTTCATTCATACATGGATGAATGCCAAGATTTGGGATTATCCTTAATCTCAACAGATAAGATTAGATGGCTTGGATTTCAATTTGATTAAACAGATTAATTGATTTAACAGAGTGAAAGGACTTATCGAGGGTTGTGGATATAGACCTTTTTGTCATGTTTTCTTAGCAAATAAAAAATAAACAAAAATGGCTGCCTGATTTTCCAAGATAAGATCAAATCTCTTGTTTGACGTATAAGTGACGCCTTGATGAAGCTCAAAGGAGTTTTTTTAAGTAAAAATAAAATAAAACTTTTAATAAACCAAGTCTGATGAATTTGTAGGGCAACCAGAAAAGCAGCAGGTCAAGGATTCGATCAGACCATTTAATGACTCATTGCCCATTGGCTGGTACCGGAAGCAATGGAGTTTCACGAAATCTTATTCAATCAGACCATTTAATGACTCGTTTTCGTTTTTAAACAGTAATTTATATCTATTTATAGGGAGTAATTAATGATTTAGTAAATAACACATTTTCTTGTGAATTTTTTTATTAGTACGAGTTAATTTAGTAATTTAACTATTGATAATATATATATTTTACAGACACAACTACTTAAATTTGAGTTTTTTAGGCCACGTGGAGGTCTCCATGTTTCTTTGTATGGACCTGAATGGGAATGTATCATAAGAGTTCTTGTAACAACTCCTGCACATACTTTGAATGAACCACTTCTTCACACGATTAATCCTTTTCGTTCCTCAGTTTTTTTTTAACAATTTCTTTTACATTTGTTTATAAATTTATCCACTCTTCTTCTGTTCGTGCATAATTGATTCTTTAGTTGCAGACAAGTATAATTGAAAATAGAAGCTGAAATGCTCTGTTAGAAAATAGAATAAATGATATTTGACTCATTTTTCTTTCTTCATTTATGTGTTTTGCTATGTTACAGGATTCTCTCGTATTCACTCATCCAAAATCATGGCATAATAATGCAGGGGAATAAAAACGTAACAGCCAAAAGTCATAATATTTTCTTTTGGGGTAACTTGAGTATAGAGGAGGGTTCGGATTTTGTGATTTTTTTAAGTTGAGAATAGGATTCCGATATTAAGATTCGAACACTAAACTTGTTGGATGCCGACTTTTGTGTTGTATGAATTAAAAGTTATGAATTTGCCCCCACAGTGACAATTTTGACAGATGGTCCCCTGATTTGTGTTTGCTATGAGATGTGGCTAAGTGGTTTATTTAGCCCTCCATTTCTCCCGTGAGAAGGGTGAGTTTGGACTTATTCCAACACACTCGCGTCCATGCAATTTTTCTTTCTTTCTTTCTTTTTTTACTGTAAAAGAAAAGCTTTATTGACAGAGAGAGAAGGAGAGGGGCCTGGGGTCCAGGGTTTCTTGATGTGCCACCAAAAAGAAAATTTGAAGCTAACTCACCAATGACCAAACAAATCAATCTTTTTATTGTGGTTACAAATGCGTAAAAATCGATCTTTCACATTGCATATTCACCACTTGAAACTGCAGAACAATAAAAATCTACTTTTTACACTCTCTTCTTAAATTTCAGCCAAAAGAAGTCTCTTTTAATAAGGATAAAAATGAAAGCTTTTAGTTAATATAACTCTCCCTATGATGAACTGATAAGGAACACAGTAAAAAAAGGAGAATGATTACAACAACTACTTTATTCTATATTTAACCACCCCTCCACCCCTCTCCCTCCACTTCATCTGCTAAAAGGTATATGTTTGCGCCACTTCATAATGATTTAACTGAATTTCTTTGTTTATCAACTGTCCTGAAGCTTTTGTTTTTTTTATTTTCTGTTCTCTTTTCATAACCAATTAAAAACTACCATCTTGTATGGCTATGTAAGCAAAGTTTCCAAATTGGGAATTGGGTTTTTTTCTTTTTCAGTATTTTGCTGGTTATGCAACTCTCTCTTGTCTCTCACAGTTAAAACTGGTATGATTTTAATTATAATCGATTATGTTTTCATTTTTAGGCACTTTCTGAGTTGATCATGATTACAATATGTCTGCTGTTTCTAAGTGCTTATTATGTTATATTTCTTGTCTGTCATGGTAAGTATGGGAGAAATCTTGGTGCTCTCTGGTTCCAAGGCAGTGAACTATTGAAAGGAGAGTTTAGCTGTCTGATTTTACAATGCCAGTTCCCCATGTGCCGTATCCGACACCTCCGGCGCCTTACACCCCTCCTGCAGCCAATGGTATCTTATTCTCTTCTCTTCTGTTCTGCAACAGATTTATCTTGAATCAATGTGAATTCTCCTCAAGAAACTTTGGTTTGGCTGAAATAGAGTTAGTCTCATTGTAACTACATATATGATGCAAAGAGAAAAAAGGGTCCAAGCAATAAATATTACTTTTCGAGATAAGAACCTATTGAATGACCTCTGTAGTAAAAGGTAATGTTGTCATAGAGTAATAAAATTCTAAACATATATTACCATTGTTACCTTCGTTTTACTCTCCATTGTCCACTGATGTAGAGGCCAAATCTATGTAACCAGGTGCTCAAAGCCAGCTTGTGTGTTCGGGTTGTCAAAATTTGTTGCTCTATCCAATTGGGGCAACCTCTGTGTGCTGTGCTGTTTGCAATGCAGTAACAGCAGTACCACCTCCAGGTACCTCATCTGCTACTTCTTCATAACTTTCTATGAAATCCTGAAACATAACATCGACTGAATCTTCCTTTCGGAAGACCTGTGTATAAAATATAAATCGGAATTCTGAAAATACAGGCACAGAAATGGCCCAGTTGGTGTGCGGAGGCTGCCATACGTTACTAATGTACATCCGTGGAGCAACGAGCGTTCAATGTTCGTGTTGTCATACTGTCAATCTGGCCTTGGAAGGTATGTGTAGATATAATAGGAAGAGAATGTTTTCTTGTATTTTATTCATCAACATTATGGATATGTATTCAAGTATAAAGGTCCTATAATATATGTAGTGTCCTACATTAACTAAGTAATATCATACATTAAATATAATATACATAAACTCCAATATTTAGCCTATAAATATGTAATACTACCCTTCAAGTTGGAGCATATATATTAATCATGCCCCTATTAAAAAAATTTAATCATGCCTAGCTTGTTACATAGACAATCAATTCATAGATAATCAATTTAGATTCCATTCAGAATTTTTGTGAAAATATCTCCTAATTATTTTCTAGTTTTCACATGGATGGTAGTGGCCAAATCTTGTTGGATCTTTTTGCGAGTGAAACGACAATCAATTTCAATATCTTTCGTTCATTCATGAAAGATCAAATTAGAAGTAATGTGAAACTTAATTTGATTATTAGGGATTTCTTAGTTCAGTCAATCAACGAAAGACGAGAATCCCTTATGTGGCGGTGTCGACGGAAGAGCCTCCAAAAGCTGTCAGTGAAGAGCAACAATAAACCTCTTTTCTTTTGACACGCAAACAGCCCACAAAAACCCTAATTTTAAAACTCTAAAATTAAGTTAGGAGTTGGTACATCTGATACCATGTAAAAGTAGTAGGAAGGGAATGTTTTATTATATTGCATTCATCAATATAATGAGTATATATACAAGTATAAAAATACTATAATATGTAAAGTAATATCCTATATTAATATGTAATACCATGCATTAAATATAATATATATCAACCTAATATTTTGTTTATAAATTATGATGTTTCAGTACTTCAATAATGTTGTTTCCCCTAAAACATTATTGAGATACAAAGCCTTGTTAATTAAGCAACTATTTTAGTTTTGGTGAAAGCTTCAGATTTTCCTTCACTTTTCTGACAGCAAATCAGGTAGCTCATGTGAATTGTGGGAACTGCAGAATGTTACTAATGTACCAGTATGGAGCAAGATCTGTAAAATGTGCAGTTTGCAATTTTGTGACATCAGTTGGGGTTAGTACACAATTTGTTCTCACTAACTGTTTATATACTCGATTCGCCGTCTTCTTAGCACCCTTGAAGTACGAAATTTCGTAAAAGAAAACCGTATTATCTAATCATACAATATGATTACACTGTTCAATTTATGGACAATATGCGATAAGAAATTTGCTTGCAAGATTTTATGCTCTAATCCCAAGTCTCTACTGCATTCTAAAAATCATTGCAGCAATATATAATTTACAAGACATGAGTTTTTTTTTTTTTTTTTTTGCAAGTGTAACTATCTGAAGAAAAGTTTTTCCTTTTTTCATAACTATTTCTTCCTGTAAAATATTTCTTCCGTTTTGCAATATGTTCACTGTTGTTTTCTGCCATTGATTGTTGCAGGGCTCGGCAAGCGCTGCCGAGCAGAAGCTCAACAGCTAAGGTTACATTACGCCCAAGTTGATTGTTGGAAGCTAAAACTTTGGTTTTGCTTATTACAAATATCTTTCTCCGCGTTTGCTTCGCATCGGCAAATGGAGGAAACTCCCTCCTAGCTTTGTATTGAGTTATTTTATCTTGCTTGACTTATGAAATAAGCAGTTTTGGGTAGCTGGTTGGATGCATTATATAAGTAATTCCATCGGAGAAGACCTGTAACAGTTTGAGCTATTGGTTATCTTCCGATAAGATAAACTGCATTTGCTTTTACTTTGATATGAATATGAGTGGCAATAAATACAGAGCATAAAGTCCATCTATGATTCTCTTTTCTTTTTCTGCGATTTTAATTGCTAAAGGTATACGTTCAGACAACTGTTTCATAGTCATTCACACAACATAGGGGACCTTATAGATTTTTATAGAAAATATTGAGGAGCATATTTCATAGAGAATCTAGTTCATTACATGGTAGATGATGTGAGATGAGGTCAATTAGAACTTCTTTCAGAGTTCATACTACAAACTTCAGAAAGAATCTTGAACGCTAAAGAGTGTATTTCTGGTTAAATATGGTTAAACCGAATGAGTTGCACATTAATATATGAAATAATTTCACTACTAGAAGTCTAAGACTCGCGTAGTTGATATTAAACTGTCGGTAAGCGCCGAATACAAGCAGCTGGACCCGAACATGAAACACCTGTTCAATTATATCTTCAGACATCATAATAAATACTTTAGCAAACAATGTTTACTTTTTAATAGACATCATACATCTGGAAAATATTTTCCAGCTCAATGTTTTGCAGTTTTACATGCCAAAATGTTTAGGTTCTCAGAAACACCCTGATGATATCCCTTTCAGGTCTCATAGATCAAACTATAACATCCACGAGATATATTCTCTAACTAATAAAGTTGAGACACATTTCAGAACCCAAGCTTTGGGTCTACTGACCACGACTTTGTCTCGGCAAATTATGCCTCATCAGACCGATGCCAGTGATGAGGTCTACATAGACCTATCTTCACTTGGGTGAGGTTTTAGATCAAGGACAGTAAAGGCTCTATATTTATTGGTGGATGGTCCATATGGCTCAGGTATAGCCCAACAGCACTTCCACCTTTCATTAAGGGAAGACAGGTTGTAAATCTACATTAGCATTCTTGAAGACACAGGTTCTTTTCCAATCCTACTTTTAAACTGATAATCGAATTACCAGAAAGTGAAACGCTGCAGTGTGGACTCCTACTAAAAGGCTTCATGTTTGAGTCTTTCTACAAGTTGAGCCAATCAATAATGAATCAAGCCATTGCTTTGCTTTTGTTCTGCAATAAATTCTGCTTCCATTTTTGAGTTCTCATTATCTGTCCCTTTTGTTTCTGGTACCTAATGAATAGCATCATGAACTTAAAGGTTCCTATCCAAATTAATTGATATTCGCACCTGATCATTTAAGAGTCTCAGCTGTACTGCTGATTCCATTTAGATATTAACATTTATGTGATATTTCAGCCTTCTTCGTGAATCCTATCTCCTAAGTACATGGTCCTGGATTTTTACAGCAGGAGCCAATGTATGCATGAATTTAACTGTTCCTTTGACCTTATCAAATGTGCTTAGCTACATAATAAAGTCGGTTCCAATGGAATTGTATTGTTTTCTGCAATCATGCTCAGCTAAATAATTAATACTGATGAGCCTTTGAAAAATTTCAAGGATAGCACTAACCTCGTTCTATTTGGAGTTTTCGTTCTTTGACATGTTTTGCCAAAATGATCTGAATAAAACATGTCCATGCCAGTCTGAACAATAAAAGCAGGTGAGAAGACACGCAAAGAATTTTCAATATGTTTTGAAGAACTTTCACGAGATCGATCTGTCCCCCCCCCCCGTTTACTTTCCAACCGCACCGAAGAGTTAACTGTTAAAGCACGGTTAGTGACGAATCTAAAAATATTTTTTAGGGTGGACACAAATATATTAATGACACAAATTTTAGTATAGAGTGAGCACAAATAAAATTTCAGGGTAAGCATAATCAATAAAATATATAACTAATCAAACAAAAAATTCAAGTTTCAGAATGGACAAGTACCCACCCTAAACCAAGCGTGGATCCTGTTGAAAATTGATAAATTCCCCCCGAAAGTTGGAATTGAAAAAAAAATCAATTCCACCTAAAACTTTGAAAAAGGGAATGGTAGGCATGAATTAGGTGTTGAATATTTTGAATGGAAAAATTAATTTAGGCATTAGACTTTAGGGTATTTACAAGATTAGTCCTTAAAATTTAATATAAATACCCTAACTCATTTAGCTTCAAAATCATCTCAAAGCATTCTAGCTTTCTTCCAATACTAGAGAGAATTTAGAGAGTTTCTTGATAGTTGTTTTCTCCTTTTTATCGAGAGAGAATTATCATTGTTTTCTCCTTGGTAGATCGAGAGAGTTGTAATTCCTATTTTCTCATAGTGAAATTCTTCTACCGTTGCCCGTGGTTTTTACCCTATTTTATTTAGGGTTTTCCACGTAAATTTTGTGTCTCCTTTTATCTTCATTTTTATTTTCTCAAATTATCAGTTGCGATTTTGCTCTATCCGATAGCCGTCTTCCGCAACAATTGGTATCAGAGCTAGATTTGAGTGCGTAATATCTGCTTATTGTCTTTGTGGTTGCTACCAAAAGGTGGATCCTCCAACATAAGAAAATAAGAAGGTATTACCCATTCTTTGAGGTTCTAGAGAACTATTCACGATAGTGAAATAGTGGGAGCTATCAATAATAGAAGCTATGGCAAAAATTTGATATTGAAAAATTCAATGGGAGAAATTTCTCACTGTGGAAATTGAAAAAGGTGGATCCTCCAACATAAGAATAAGAGGTATTACCCATTCTTTGAGGTTCTAGAGAACTATTCACGATAGTGAAATAGTGGGAGCTATCAATAGAAGCTATGGCAACAAAATTTGATATTGAAAAATTCAATGGGAGAAATTTCTCACTGTGGAAATTGAAGATGAAGGCCATCCTGAGGAAAGGCGGGTGTCTAACGACTATCAATGAAAGGCCGATGGATTTCGCAGATGACAACAAATGGAACGAGATAGACGGAAATGCTATGGCAAACTTTCATCTAGCATTAGCAGATGAAGTATTATCAAGCATCGAGGAGAAGAAGACAGCTAAGGAGATATGTGATCATCTCACCAAATTGTAGGCCAATCGTTGCACATAAAATTTTCCTTAAGAGGAAATTGTACACTCTTCGGGATGTCAGAATCTACTTCAGTGACGGAGCACTTAACACACTGAACACTTTATTTTTCTCAGCTTACATCCTTAAGCTGTAAAATAGTAGAACAAGAACATGCTGAACTTCTACTTTTTAAGTCTACCGGATTCGTATGAACTCATCATCAACTTGACAAACAATAATGTCACCAGTCTAGTCTTCGATGACATTGCAGCTGTTCTACAAGAAGAAAATCGACGCAAGAACAAGGAAGGCAAACAAGTAAATCTGCAACAAGCAGAAGCGTTGACAACGATAGAGGGAGATCAACAACGTGGCCAAAAGCAGTAGTCACAAACATGGTAGATCAAGTCGAGGAGCAAGAAGAATTTAAAGTGATACAATTGTGGAAAGAATGTCACTTGAAGAAGGATTTGTTGGAGTCTAAATAAAAACTCTAATCCACAAGGCAATACCGCAACACTTCAGATGATAGAGATGCACTATGCTGTGAAGCGTCAACCACCGTAGAAAGAAGAAAAAGATTTGCAGATATATGGCTCATTGATTCAGGAGCAACATATCACATGACCTCAAGAAGAGAATGGTTCCATCAGTATGAACCTGTCTCAGGAGGATCTGTGTATAGTTGCAATGATCATGCCTTAGAGATCATTGACGTGGGAACCATCAAATTGAAGATGATGGAACAATTAAAGTTGTTCGAGATGTGCGGCACGTGAATGGCCTAAAGAAAAATTTATTATCCACGGATTGTTGGATAATATGCAAGCATATTGAAACACATAAAGGAATCATGAAGGTATTCCGTGGAGCGCTTGTGGTGCTGAAAGGCGAAAAGATAGCAGCAAACTTGTACATGCTGAAGGGAGAGACTTTGCTAGAAGCAGAAGCCTCTATTGCCTCATGTATTTCAGATTCTGCAATGCTATGGCATCAGAAACTTGGACACATGTTAGAACAAGGAATGAAAGTCCTTGTGGAGCAAAAGCTACTTCCCGGCTTAACAAATATCACTTCCTTTGTGTGAGCATGTATAACAAGTAAGCAGCACCGGTGAAATTCAACACGTCAAATTCTAGAGGCAAAAAATGTTCTAGAATTGTTCATTCTGATGTATGGCAAGCACCAGTTACATCCCTAGGTGGAGCAAAATACTTTGTCTCATTTATTAATGACTACTCTAGGAGATGTTGGGTGTATCCTATTAAGAAGAAGTCAGATGTGTTTTCAACTTTCAAAATCTTCAAAGCGCGGGTGAAACTTGATTCTGGAAATAAGATCAAGTGTTTCAGAAAGATAATGGAGGGAGAATACACAAGCGAAGAATTTGATGACTTTTGCAGGAAAGAAGGCATCAAAAGATAGTTCACATGGCAAACACTCCTCAACAAAATGGAGTGGCAAAGCGGATGAACAGAGCCTTGTTAGAAAGAACAAGAGCAATGTTGAGGGATACAGGCCTAGAAAAATCATTCTGAGCAGAAGCAGTCAATACCGCTTGTTATTTGGTGAATCGAGCTCCATCAACTGCAATAGAGCTGAAGACACCAATGGAGATGTGGACTGGTAAACCAGCTGATTATTCAAACCTCCATATATTTGGAAGTATTGTGTACGTGATGTACAACTCCCAAGAAATCTCAAAGTTGGATCCAAATCCAGGAAATGCAAATTCTTGGGGTATGCTGATGGAGTCAAGGGTATCGCTTGTGGGATCCCACTGCCCGCAAAGTGATCATCAACAGGGTTTCTTTGTAGAGGATAAACTACAAAGAAAAGAAGATAATGATAGCACTGAAAAGTCAGAGACTACACAGATAAATGTGGAAAAGGAGTTTGAACAAGGAGATTCTTCATAAGCAGAACCAGCACATGATGAACAAGAACCAGAGAGTTCTGAAGCACCAACAACTCGTCAATCAGATCGTGTAAGAAGACGTCCCAATTGGCACTCAGATTATGTTATAGAAGGTAATATTGCAT